AGGCTGATGTACAGTGTGATGTCAGTGCATGTCGAGACCCCGGGGCTTTGAAATCATCCAGCGACCGAGACACATTGGGACAATAAACTGCATAAACTGGCCAACCACAAATGGTGCCTAATGGTAGTCATTTTCACCGTTTATCTTCAGCCGTGCGTTTCCACTTTTCAGGGCACAGTTGGCTGTTCTCGCCTAGTGCAACCGCTACAGCGTAAATGTTTTGCTTTGGCTTCGGCAGGCTGTGAATTGAATTTCTAAATGAAAACATAACATTTTGTACCTATTTCCCTTTATGTGATCGGTTCAGTGCACTACCAAGGGATTGACAGCGTAGCTGAAGATGGGTTTGAATTGAAATGGGCTGTGAAATAATACATTTTTTGGCATAAAATGTAATCTGCTCACACAGGACAAGGTAAATAAATCTGAAATCTGAGATTGCTCGCAGAGGCCTTCATCTTACAGTGCACATAAAGTTAGGAAACATTGCATATTTTGTTAGGTGGTTGCCATTTACCCCTTACAGAAAAATGGTCTAGTATTGTGTTTCAGTCTTGAGAGATATAGTTGTGTAAATTTAGCTATGTAGCAATACTTTCAACAGCAGCAGCTTTGCCATTTGGAGTCATTGTCTGTCCTTTTCAAGCACCTCTGAATTATAATTTTATTTAGTCATATTAATTCTTGCGGTATTTCTTTTTTTTCTATTGGAGTGCGACATCCTCACATTAGCAAGCCTTAAAGCCAAATGTAGTCTATTTGTAATGCTGCTGGCCACATATAATTTATTCTGTTTTTAAGAGAGAAAATGACATGGCAACAATATAATTAAAAAATGTTTATCAACCAATGTGGCTTTTTTGTTTCTGTCATTATCCCTTCCAAACAACTCATAATCAACGTCAAATAACTTTTATCAGTAAGAGTTTTTAAAAACTTCTTGGGCTTCTTGGTTTGTCAAACCTTTGTAACTTTACATTAATTAAAGGCAACCTCTTGCACTGTTTCACAACAGGATAAATGTGAGCGACAGTCAGTCTGGATAAGCCTTGTTCCGCAGTCTATTGTATAAAACATAAAATTCCAATAAATTTTCACTGAACAACATCCCTGGATAATTGAGCCATGGAAGAGTTCCGCGCCAGGGAAACAACACCGAGAGTATTGTCTCGAATTCGTATATACAAGCATCGAGTACTATTGCGAAGTCAAGTTCGAATACCTTTAACAATTATTTTAGTCATTAAGGCTAGAATTTGGATTCCATCACAGATTGTGTGTATCGGCTAAAAAACCTCAAAGGACATTAAAGTGAAGAACATACAATCAACTTGAATTGATAAAGTGTGTAGTGACACGTATCTCGAAGGAGTACGGCCACTAGCGTGGTCCGGTCATAGCGAGCCGCAGGGCCCGCGTTAACCGTCACCGTGGCGAGAACGCGATACTGCTCAAAGTCGCAACACTTTAATGTCTATGGCAACACCAAACGCAGTACAGCCCGTTGCAAAGGCGCGGCGGGAAAGCAAATAGGCTTATCCACGCCACGGGCATAAAAGTACTACACAGGGTGCCACGAGCACGTCTCCGCGGTAAAGGTGATCCACGGAGACACCGGGACCAAGGCCCGGTTGCTCGAGCGAGGGCAAAGGCGCTCGCGTTGGCTTCGGGGGAGATGGGTCGGCGTAGCTAGCCCACGCACTAGGACACCGTACCACCCTTCGGCGGTTCGTACGCAGTGGGGCAACAAAAGGTGAGCGTTCGCCTCGGGCTTGAGGCGCCGTCAGCGAAGTCCGACGAGCCCCGAGCGACCGGAGCCGACGGACGAAAAAGATTGCGTGGCTCACCGTCTGCAGTGCCGGAGAGTATCTATCTGCTCCCGACGCAGCGTGCGAAAACCTCTCGGGAGACTCCGCGCGCGGCGCCACAGTCAACATCTGCTACTGGGTGAGGGGGTGAAACGTCACTCCGCTCTCCCATCGTGGCAGACAGCGAGGAGGGGTGACATGTCTGGACATGTGAACGGCAAAAAAGGCGGCAAAGCCCGCGCAAGGGCAGCGGGCTAGCCTCAATTCCCACAAGTGTCACTTGAAAACTCTTGAAAGAATTTGTTACTGGTCTAGTTGGTCTATAACGGGAAACTGCAGAGTGAAAATGTAGTACACGACATAGAGCTACAGTTTTTGTCCTGTGCTGTGTGTGTTCTGCTACGTCCCATACCCTAGTTGCTCTCTGCAGTTTAGCTTGAAAACTTAATTTCGCCGTCGAAGGCTCGTTGTCCCTTCACCTATTTGGTATGAGTACAGCTCCTCTTTACCAAACTATCACCAGACCATTTTGTGCATATGCAGCTTGTTTGCATGCTCCCCCCTCCCCCATGAGCACTTGAACGAGATGCATTTGTTTGTAGATTAGTGCATCTCTGTGCAGATGGTAGCAGTGACCTGGTAATGACTTTTTTTTATTTGCTGTTCGACATTCTGTGATTGGCAACCTGTGTTCTCAACCTAGCATTCAGTGTAGGCGACACATGTATTGTTGATCCATTGTCGTGAGAGTGATTAAAATTGTCAAAATAATGAGTTTCCAAGCATCGCTCTTCTCTTGTTTCATAATGTTGACATTTTCAACATAATAATTTGCTTTTCAGCAAAAAAATAATAAAATGACAAAATGAGTTTTTGAAGAGCTTGGGGAGAATTATCAATATATCAAAATATTTAAGGAGCTGAAGATCATATAACAGAGGTCAAAATTTGAATTGTTGTATTAAGTTTTTCGACATAGCAAATATTAAGTGAAGGCTATACTGGATAACATTCTCTGATGCTTGAAAGGCCGGCTTTTTTAATTGTTGAGGTCATTTGAATTCATTGAAATTTGTTAGGCTGCATACTTCCTTCATTTATGGATAATTGAAGCCTTGAGAAATGTGCATGTTACTTACAAATATAATATTATTGATTACCTCTAATTTCCTGCTTTGTTTCCCACATTACTCCTACTCTGTGATATAAGCATGGGAACAGTGTCATAAGTTACAGAAGCACTGATACTGGTTTCCAGGGATACAGGGTTGCATAGGCGATGATTTTGTATGTTTGGCCTGTGCCTTGCTCGTGGGGTTAACTATAAAATGTGTTGATGCTAGCACAAATATAATTGCAATGCTGCTGAAAATTTATAGCAGTGAAGAAAAATTGGTTTGTTTGTTATGCGCTTACCTGGTTTAGTTTCCATCCATCATGTGGCACCACCTATGCAAATAACTTAAAGGGTACTGACACAAAAACTATGGACTCCTTTTTTTTCTGCTCTGTGTTGCTGGGGGCCTGTTAGCCACATCATACGCTGCAGCACATGATAACTAATTGATTACAGGCCCCTCGTTATCGACCAGTTTCTGTTCCGGTTTGAGAGAGCTCCATGAATGAGAAGCCACAGTGCGCAACTATCGCCACCTAGTTTGCACAGCTCTCAACAAAGTCAGCACACAGAACTACGACACACTTCGACACGGTCTGCATCAAGAATTACTTTCGGACATAAAATGGGACTGCAGTGTTTCCAAACACAAATTTTTCAAAGCTTGCACCAAAGCCAAATACACGCGAAGAGCCTTCGAGAAGTATGGACTTCCGAAGTAAATGTGGCAAAAAAATGGCAGCTATGACGTCCTCGAAACTTGTTCTATTGACTGCAGCTTGGTGACGTGATGGAAGTAAGTGGGTCTCCAAGGAGTCCCTTTAGATGCTGTCAATACCTTCAAAATTCAGACTACAAAATTGCTGTCAAATACATTTTAAGCTGTATTTGCTGTTGATAATTTTAAGATGATGTACGCTTGTAAGGGAGTCGATGCCACAGTTTATTTCGGCCACAAAATTTTGTGTCGGTACCCTTTAAGGGGCCCTGCAAAACATTTTCAGCATGTTCAAAAAACACTACACCTGAGGCTCTTGAGAACATGTGAGCCAAATATTATAACGCAGCATGCAACCTAGAATTTACAATTAAATACTCAGTCAGCTAATAAACGCTTCCTTTTTCTCAACAAATGATGCTGTGTATACTTAGAAATATTGCGTCGTAGGATAGCATGTAGGAATGGCAGACTGGGCTTGTTGGTGTAATATATTGGAGGTTTAAGGCGCAAATACCACATGGGTGAAGGTAAGGTACACACACGATGTGCTTCGTGTGTGTGTGTACCTTATCTTCATCCGTGTCGTATTCGTGCTTTGAACCGTGAATAGGCTAGCATGGCACGCTCTAAAGTTGCTGTGGCCGCGCGTTCAAAGAAGAAGAAAAAAAAGGAAATGTGCTCAAGTTCACGAGGCATGTGTGATGTACCTTCTTCCCTCATGCTATCCCTCCATGCTTAGCTTCCAGCGCTTTCATTGGAATGAGAGAAGCAATAGCATCGTGCTACAAATCTTGTAACTCCGCTCATACTGGATAGATTCTAAACATACTTGTGGCAGTTTATTCGTAAGGCAATAAGCTCCTCTCGTAAGGCCATTTCATGGCTACTAAAAAAGTGTTGCAGGATCCTTTTAAGTCAGCTAACCGTTTTAAACAGGGGTCAGGAATCTGTGGGCCACAAGGCGATATTATGCGGCCTCCATCATGACATCAAGAAATCTCCTTCCCCCCTTATGGCTTCCGATCTGAAGGCCAACATCATGAGCATGATAGGAGTGTCTCGGAGGAAAATAGCATTGCCTTTTTTGCTGGTAAAGAATTATGTAAGCCCCGACAGACTCTGCCTAAATATGGGACGCAAGGTGAGCTGGCGTGTGAACTTGGAGGCGACATTGTGACCCGTTATTTCTGTTTTGCGTGTTTGCTGTGATTACTGAGTAATGTCTCCTGGTAAGAGAGGGAGACAATTCTGCCATGCATTGTTTCTAATGGGAAGATGCCCAGTAGAGAAGTTATTCTGCTATTTGTTTACATAAAGGTGTTTCTGGGCCCCCTTTTATGTGGCTCTCTTACAGGTTGCCCAAGAAGTGGTTCCCGAAGAAAGCCCGCCACCCTTCACTGTCGTCCATCTTTGAGACTGCGTTCAGTGCCACCGTGACACAGTCATCGGCAGAATCGCTTAATGATATGGCACTTGATGGTATGGCTCTCTTTGCACTGAAGTAGTGGCCCACTCGTCACTAGACATAGGAATTTGCTGATGCTGGTAATCAATATTGGCTGCACATTCTTAAAGGAGTACTGACACAAAAGTTTGACACAAGATAGCCTGTGGGGTCGATTCCCGTGAACATTCGTATATCATCTGCAAACTATCAACAGCAAGTGTAGCTTGCAAGGTATTTAAAATCAATTTGAAGTTTGTGTAAGCGGTCGACTCCATCGTGCCAACCTCACAGGGGACCCTTTCGGGACCCCGTACTTCCCTCATGTCACCAGGTTGCAGTCAATAAAAAACAGGTTATGATGATGTCACAGCTGCCATTTTTCTTTTGCCGCATTTGTTTTCGCAATCTATATTTTTCGGTAGCTGGTTGAGAGTGCGTGGCCGGGGCATACGCTTAGAAAGTGAGAAAGCATGCTTAGAATGTGGCGCACGCTTAGCGACATTGCAGTCTTGTTTCCTATATGAAAGTTATTCTTCATATGGACCATGCGGAAGTGTGTCAAAGTTCTGTGTGCTGATGTGGTCAAAAGCTTCACATGCCAGGTGGCGACAAATGCACCCAGTTTTTGGAGCTCTCTCAAACATAAACTAAAACTGATTGGTAATGAGGGGCCTGTAATTACTTATATGTCACGTGCGGCAGCAAACGATGTGTTGTGTCGTGACTAACAAGCCTCCTGCAACACATTGCTGCAGAAAAACACGAGACTAAAGTTTTCGTGTCAGTACCCCTTTAAAGATTAAAGACGTGATCCCAAACTGGAACTTAGAATCTGTGGTGGTTTATGTATTAAGATATTTATTTTCCAAAAGTGAAGAGTATTTGGAGCAGTATTTTTGTTCAGTCGTTTTCATCGTTATAATAATTTAATTTTGAGATTTATTTTGGCTTGGTTCCTGACGCAGTATTCGCAAGTGATAGTGCTCATGGCATTGCAGCGAGATAATTTCCGAAAGGGATCAACATAACTTTTAGATATACAATCAAACTTGCTTTTAAGTACAGTACTGCCCTCGTGTTCAAAGGGGATGTTTGAGAGGCACCCTTTTGTGGAATTAGAACTACAATCTAGAAGTTGTACGCCATTCGTTTTCATGGATGCAAAGCGATAATGGCAGCATGTGTTGTGTTCAGCTCGGAGGTTAGCGTGGGAACCTTTGTCTTGTTGGGCACTCTTCTTTCTTTGCTGCTGCGGCTATATCTTCTTGCTTCTTAAACGGCGCTGTTTTGTTTTTGTCTCCCCGTTGCAGTTCCCGAGATGCCCATTGAAAGTGGCTCTCCCCTCTTTGCCTCTGCCGACGAAGATGCCGACAGTGCATCCGGTCGGCTAGACCACGGAAGTGTCCGTGGCAGCCGCTGTAACTATCGCCGTGCAACGCCACCGGCAGTTCCCCCGTACTCTCTACTCTCCTCCTCCTCCGTTCTCCCCCTTTGCTACACCAAACCCTCACTCGCTCCTCTCCCTGAGCGACCTGCGTATGGACGTGCGGCTTGCCCCGAGAAGTGGTAGTGCGACAGCTTTTTTGTCCGCCACCAACGTCGCCCCTTCTAGTCGGGACTGGCATCCGGGCAACATCGTCCCACCAGACATCGTCTCGACAAGTGTCTACTCTTCGAGCGTGGTACCGCCGAACGTTGCCCCGTCGCATCTTGCGTCGGCGGGAGGCCTCGAGAGTGCCGAAGCACGCCACCGCAAGCGCCTGCTCAGCGATGGCGAGAGCAGCCACTGCAAGAAAGAGAAGCCGTGCAAGATGTACCCGCACAGTCCCTTGCCCGCTTCCTCTTCTTCACGCCAGAACGTGGACGATCGTTGGCGCAGCCCTGACAGCGAAGAAGGTGCGTCCGGCGGCAGGCACGAAGAGAGGCGTGGCACTGAACAAAGCAGCAGCCGCACGACGCTGTCGTCCAGTGAGTGCTCGCTGGATTAATGCGAAGCCAATGCACTTCTGATGTCACGTTTAAATCGCAGCCTTTAACTACAGGGACAGATGAAATTTCGAGTCCACAGTGTCCTTTGCTTTGCTTTTTGGCTTATGCTCTTGTCCTTGTCCTTTATGTGCATGCTTGCTTTGGTGGGAAGGACATTAATACCAAGTAATAGTTAATCCTGACTTGGACTAAGTGTATATAGCTTCGAATTCGTGTTTTCTTGATTTTCTTCCTCCGAAAGCTTGCATCCCTTTGCTAGTGGCACTTACATCTTGTTTGTACATATTGTTTCAGGTGTTGAAGGGACAGCTGAGGCCTGTGAGCAGGGCGGAGCTTACGGAAGGGTTGCGAAGACATCGTCCGAAAGTGACAGCGACGCAGATGTCATTGTCACCCCACCAAGGCCTCATTCCACTCCTCATTCCAGGCCAACGTCCCAGGATACTTGCAGCCAAGATCACAGCTGTTCGGAAAATCGTCCTACTAGGGAGAATCGTAGCCACCATTGGGGGTCAGTGAGAACTCGGCCAAGTAAGCCAAGTAAGCTGTTTATTTGGGGATTCTGTTCTTAGCGTTCAGGGTACAGAGGACAAACAGACCACACGTTGTTTGGCATCTGTGGTGTTTTTTGTTGTATGGTTTTTATTGTATGTGCACCATTTTTTTTTATCGACATAACTCTTCTTACCTTTCTTTAGTGGTGTGTGTGATGTTGAGGACAGTTTGGGCACTTCTGTCATTGTGCAGCAGCTCAGAAAACGGACAGGGAGTCGTTTTTGAACATTCAAATACAAAATGGAAGGATATGAGAATAAGTCTGTGGTGTGGGTGCCATTCGAATGTCCACCACAGCAAGAATGGCGCAGTAGTCCTGTAATCTCACGACTTCCGAACAGGGGTAGAGACTTTTAGGAGATGCTTGGGCCAGTGCTGGCTCGGCTCCCGTCTTGGATGTCTTGATCACCACCGAGGCGTGGCATCGTGTGCGGGTTACGTCCAGCGCAGCACCGTATGTACCATGCAGGAATGCTGTTTGACACAGCTTTGGTACAGCAGCTCAACCAGTGGTGTTCTTTGCCTCAGTGCACTTCAATGAGAACTAACAGACAATGATGCCAAGAGTATAGGGAAGGTCATCAGAAGTATTTGTAGCGCAAATATGAAGAAAAAAAGTGGATGGAGCCATAACGCCACCAGCAGGATCGAAACGTGTGACCTTAGAGTAATGTGTCCGATGCTCTACTACTGACCTACAGTGGCAATCGTCCCTTTGTATTAATTATACGGTATATACAGTAGACTCCCTTCAGGATGAATTCGAAGGGACCACAATCATTTGTTCATCTTATAGGGAATTTGTCTTTTCACAAGTGCCCCCAAAAGCCAAAACTAACATGCCAAGTACTCCCAAATATGTTGCTTCAAAACACTGAATGAGGTATACTTATAATGGGGAGAAAAGGAACAAGAAAAAGCATTTATTTAGCTCAGCTTGATAAAAACTATGCTTTCAAGTAGAGTATTTAGACTAACAAGTAGAGTATTCAGACTCATCTAAACTCGTTTTCACGAGTTGATAATATGCTCATGAATAAATTTCTACCATATTTTAATGATAAAATTGCATCACGACCCTTTTTTGACTATTACAAAAAGATCAAAAAAAGGAAGAGACAAACACAATTTTCCTTCAAAGAATAGAAAATTTATTATTCTGGCTGTTCACCTTACGAGAGGCTGTTTAACAGGCTTTGAAATTACTTTTGGATATGCTTCCATTGCATACCGAAACCTCGACAAACTTTTTCTTTGAGGTTGGGATGTTTTCTTATTTTCAGCCAAGAGTAACTTTTCCTGAACTACATGCAGCTGAAGATCTCCGTTTATGCTACTCGCGATCACGAGCCTTCGGCAGACAGAAAGAGACACGACGCAGCTATATTTAGTGTGAAAAATAACCTTCTTTATTGTGCACTTAAATAATGAAAATGACACATCACACTTTGCTGAATTTCACCCGGAAGAAATACAATGCGCTCAGGTGCCATTTTGTGACACCTATGACAATGCATCCAACTCCTTTGATGGGAGTGCTAGTGTCGCATATGTCGTTTCCATTTTATGTGATTTTAATGTACAGACTGTATTTCTTGTCTTCCCGTTTTCACTTTCATTTGTCTTTTTTTTTGCCCCTCTTTCCTTGCATTTTCACCTCCAGCCAAGCTCTTGTGTTGATCTGTTCTCTACTGTACTCTTGTAGGGGAACTGAAAAATGCGAGGGAAATATAAAAAGATGAATGCTTTTGTTGCTTTATTTGCTGATAATGCCGGTCCTTTCTCCACAGGATTGAAGGAGATACCAGCTTCATGTGCTGACTTTTCTTTACTTATCTCGCTTTCTCCCTCCACATTGCAATTTGCCTTCGGTTTGCTTTGTCTTTGTGCCAGGATGTTTATTGCTCTCTTATGTTTGCTTCTTGCGCTAGACTATCAAAACTAAAATGTCCGCTGCACAGAATTCCTGTCGTCGTTGCTCACTGCGAGGGTTCGTCTTAACAGAAGGGGCCTGTTACACGATTCATCTTGAGCAGATAGTTGTTTTGCATTGAGTCTGGGAGAAATCAAACAAACACTCCAATGTTGCTCGTCTCAAGGGGAGAAGCGGATCTTTGAGACCGAAAATCGCTAAAGAACACGAGTTTATTTACAATGCTATATTTGGATTCTCCCACTATCGCTGCATAATCTCGCCAATTTTCACGTGTCCTAGATTGGTAATTTAGCCATGAGAGTAGCTTATGTGACGTTAGTGAGTTGAATTTTTGGCTATGAACACGTGAAAAACGGGCTTTTCTAGCGCCGCGGTGTTGCCGTTCTACGCTTGCTACAGCAGCCGTCTTAGTTGCATTCGAAAGAGCCGCCCTTTTTCTTTCATATCCCGCCGCGCTTGTTATCGTCCACTCAGTATGCACGCCGTGAATCCTGGTAAAAAAAAAAAAGCCCTGTTGTGTGAGCCTGTTCGTGTGGTGAGCACACGTGACTAATTCATCGTGACTTCCGATTCGCCGGGCCTCCCGAGCTGTCTGTTGCGTGCAGCAGCGGAGCACAGGCGAAGCGGTGAGTGTTTGTCACTCTGTACTCGTCGGCTTCCTGAACCCGCGCGAGCTAGCGAGACATTGGAGCAACCGTTTCTCAAGTCTGCACATTCAGGCACGCCGCTGAACCAGCCCGACGAAGCGCGCCGCAGCCACTGCGCCAATGCGTTAGGCTTACGCTCTCAGCCACGTTTTGAACCTGGTTTGAACCTTTCATCATGCCGAAGCCGTATCGCCAGTTCCGCACCGCTCACAAGTTTGAAAAAAAAAAATTGCCCGCAGCTTCCCTCGGGGGAACACTGAGAAGGATGCGGAGCATATAATTGGTTAGCGAGCGTTGGGTGTGGCATACTGCTTGGCGCGCCACGCCGCTACCTCGGCGCGCTTGCGCTCGCGGGCAGCATCGGGATCGGCCTCTCGTCGCCGACGCTTGCACTCGGCTTCCCTTTTTCGAAAGTCCGGGTCCTCTTGTCGACGCTTACGTTTCAAAGCGGCCGAATCCGGTGCTGCTGCTCGACGCTGACGTCTCTCAGCGGCTTCACGTTCTCTAAGTTGAGCATCTTCCACTCGACGCCGACGTTTACGTTCGGCGTCGCGAGCTCTTCTCCGCGCTGCCTTGTCATCGGACGACGACTTGGTTGCGGTTCCGCCAACACTTTGGCCGGCGCTGGTCGAAGGGACGTCGATCATTGCGACCTCGGACGTCGACGCGCCGCACAAACCAACCGACGAGTGGCAACTGAGCGAGCGAGCACCGACCTTGAGTATATATACAGCGAGACGGCGCATGCACTGTCAGCTGTCGAATGTTCGAGAAGGGGGAGAAGCGCAACGGCGCATGCGCGCGCGTCAGCTGCCGATGTTCTCGAAGCGCGACGGCGCATGCGCGCGCGTCAGCTGCCGATGTTCTCGAAGCGTGACGGCGCATGCGCGCTACGTTATACAGCTAGCGAATGTTCGTGAAGAGGAGAAGCGCATGCGGTGTGTAGAGGAGGAAGGGTGCACAGATGGTGGAGGAGTGAAGCGCGCGCGGTGTGTAGAGGAGGAAGGGATGCACAGATGGTGGAAGAAGGAGGAGGAAGCTTGCGGACGGCGCCGCACTACAAGCCTCGAGTATTAGATGCTCCGCATCTAAAAAGCGCAAGAAATCTACGGCAAAAACAGATAATGGCAAGGGCATATCCAACGCGCACCTCATGCAGGACGGCGCTGCCACGGAACACGATCCGTCGGATGAAACGCCAACATCTCCGCCTGTTTCCCCGGCTGCCTCGGACGACGTCGGCGATAGGCAGTGCATAAGAAAAGACGCAACTTTTTTGACAAGCGCTGATCGTGCGCAACAGCAGAAAATGAGTGCTGATAAGATCAGCAGCTTATCGGCAACTTCAGCCAGCGAGCGCAAGCTGCCAGTGCTCGCGGCAGCGCGCAAGGGCAAGGTTCCTTTTGGCGTTGCATAAGTGGTTGCCAGACTGTAAGGGTAATTGTTGCCAGACTTCCGCTAAATTTGGCGGAAAAGTTTTTTCCTGTAGTTGTAGCTTTTACGTAAGAGTATTGTGCTTTCCGTGGTGCATTTCTTGGCTGAAAATTTTTCTCATGTAGTTGTGGCTTCTTCGTGAGAGTTTGGTGCTATCCGCGGTGCATTTCTTAGCTGAAAAATTTTTCTCCTATAGTTGTGGCGTCTACGTAAGAGTTTGGTGCTACCCGTGGTGCATTTCTTGGCTGAAAATTTTTCTCCTGTAGTTCTTGCTTCTCCGTAAGAGTTTGGTGCTATCCGCGGTGCATTTCTTAGCTGAAAATTTTTCTTCTGTAGTTGTGGCTTCTCCGTAAGAATTTGGTGCTATCCGCGGTGCATTTCTTAGCTGAAAATTTTTCTCCTATAGTTGTGGCTTCTGCGTAAGAGTTTGGTGCTATCCGCGGTGCATTTCGTGAGTGCATGAGCGACGCTAGCCGTTTTCATTAACGGAATGAACCGAGCCTAGCAAAAGTCGAACGCGGTGCTGCCGTGCAATTAAGAGGCCGTTTTGATTCTATTGTAATTAACGGAATGAACCGCACCTAGCAGAAGTCGAGCGCGGCGCTGCTGCGCAATTAAGAGGCCGTTTTAATTAACGGAATGAACCGCGCCTAGCACAAGTCTAGGCGCGTTCTCTTGCTGTGTGCGCAGCTGTTCGATTAAGATATCGCGTCTCAGTATTAGCGATTACGGGGAAAACTAAATAGAGTCGCAGGAAGTGATGCGCTGCCCCCCTCCCCCCTTACTTTTCTTTTTTTTTCTCTCAGCTAACCGTGTAGCGTCGACCGCGCGCTACGACGGGGGACGGTACGCTTACCTTAGCTGCGTCAGCACAAGACATATCGTTCGGACTTGTGTAAACATGTGATGAATAAGCGTTCCAAAGCTGGTTAATAGGGGTATGTCGGATATGCTACAGCTATGTACACCTGGAAGCGTCGACCAGCTGATCGCGCGGTCGACGCTACACGATCAGCTGAGAGAAAAAAAAAGAAAAGTAAGGAGGGAGGGGGCAGCGCATCACCTCCTGTGACTCTATTCAGTTTTCCCCGTACTCCCTAATACTGAGACGCGATATCTTAATCGCTCAGCTGCGCACACAGCAAGAGAACGTGCCTAGACTTGTGCAAGGCGCGGTTCATTCCGTTAATTAAAACCGTCAGCGTCGCTCATGCACTCGCGAAATGCACCGCGGATAGCACCAAACTCTTACGGAGAAGCCACAACTACAGAAGAAAAATTTTCAGCTAAGAAATGCACCGCGGATAGCACCAAATTCTGACGGAGAAGCCACAACTACAGGAGTAAAATTTTCAGCCAAGAAGTGCACCGCGGATAGCACCAAACTCTTGCGGAGAAGCTACAACTACAGGAGAAAACTTTTCCGCCAAATTTAGTGGCAGTCTGGCAACAACCACCACAAAGTCTGGCAACAGAATTATGCAACGCCAAAAGGAACCTTGCCGTTTCGACTCGGATCCGTCAGCGGCTACCTACGGGATCGTCGACTCATCTCCGATAAACAAGCTTCTTGAAAGAACAGCTAAATGCCGGACATGCAGTGCGACCATCTCTATTGAACAAGGTGAGTGTGAATATGGACTTGCGATGAAGCTGATTTCAGAGTGCCACAACTGTGGACTTGTTGACAGTGAGTGGAGCTCTGGGAGGGTACCCAGTCAGGCTAAACGCGCTGCATTTGAAGTGAATATTCGTGCCTCTCGTGCCGTGCAAAGCACGGGGAACGGCCAGGCAGCCCTAAACGACATCTTTTCTGTAATGGGAATTTCTCACAGGGGACTTCACCACAAAAGCTATCAGAGCCATTTGAAAAATAAACTGAATCCTGCAGCAACACGAGCTGCAGACAAGGTCCTCACTGATTGCGACATGTCAGTGAAAACATTATACCAAGATCTGTGCTTTGACAACCCAGGTAATGTGGCCATCTGTTATGATGGCACATGGATGACCAGAGGCCACCTGTCGCACATTTGTGTGGGTGTTCCTATAGAGCTGTTTTCTGGCTATGTTTTAGACTATGTTGTCCTGTCAAATTTTTGTGCCGGATGCAAGCGCACACCACCAAAGGAGCACTCAAATTACTTGATTTGGGAGTCATCGCACATCTGCTAGAAAAATACACAGTGCAAATCAGATCACATAAAAGCGGAGGCAGCAGTCACTCTTTGCGCTCAATTTCCCGTCACGGCTTGAGGTACACAGTGATGCTGTGTGATGGGGACAGTAGATCATTTCGTGCTGTTGAAGACTCGATCAGTGTATGGTTTCATACAGGTTCAAAAAGAGGACTCTATAAACCATATCCTAAAACAAATGGGTTGCGCACTACACAATCTTGTTCAAAAGCATAAAGGTTCTAGCGAAACACGCAAGTGGAAGAGGCCGCTTGACAGGTGATGTCGTAGAGAAATTGTCGAGATCTTATGGCTGGGCTCTGAAGTTCAATGTTGGTGACGTAGATGTGATGCACCGGGCAGCCATGGCCACATATTATCATGTGACATCGACTGATGAAAGGTCCAACCACACCTTGTACCCAAGTGCAGTGACTCATGGTGCAAGCAGAATGCTGCTGCTGCAAGGGGAGAACCGCTGCCAAGACACACTAACAACTTCCCACAAAATGTCCGTGTTGCACTACTTCCAGTATACGAGCGACTTTGTGACAAGGAGCTGCTAAAACGCTTGCCTAAGAGGCAAGACACAAAATGCAAACGAGGCACTCCTGTCATATGGTCTCTAATGCCTAAAGAGAAGCATGCTTCACTCATAGCTGTTAAGACTGCAGTTGCTGAGGTCGTGATGCGCTTCAATTCAGGAATGGAAGAAGCCTCCACACGTATCCTCAAAGAACTTCAGCTAGAGCAAAACTCCATGAGCGAGCGACGGGCAGAAGAGAAGGATTCTCGTCGGATCACGAGTGCCGAGCGTAAGCGTTCAGCATCTTCCAGGTTCCTGCAACAAGCAAAGCGGCGGCATCGACAAAAGTGTGACAAAGACTACTGCCCTGGTGTTTTTTGAGGCATTTATATGCAAAGAGAAGCATTTTTGTTTGGGTAGAATTCCTTGAATATACAGAGCTTTGTTTTTTGCCATTTTCTCAATTTCAGTTTTTTGGCCACCTTTCATTCTTCTGACAAGCGCTTCTCAGCTTTGGTACACTGGAATTTGATCATTTTTGTCTTGCTGAGAAGCTGGATGCTTAGTGAGTGCAAGAAAGTGCCCTATGGGCCTTTAGGACACACTAAATGTTTAGAAAAAATAAAATACAAAAATTATCGTTCCTTGATAATGGAAGGATGAACTTCTAAACTTCATAACTTTTGTTGTAGGAAAGCTAGAGCCATGAAACTTGCTTTTTGCACTTCTTGCTAATTGTAGAATGCAATGACATTTAATTCAGAAAGATGTGTGCTGCCAATTTACTGAAAAGGTGATCAAAATAACTTTTAATTAATGACTAATTAAAACAAGGTTGTAAAAGGTACATAAAAACTGAGTTTATATTTGACATCTGCACATGTAAATACACCATCTCATAAGTTTTCATCACCCTAGCTTAAATAATAAGATCCCTGAGAGCTAAGTGCCTCTTCCCCCCTTAAGGAAGAATTCGTCTTAACCGAGATTATCTCGTTTACTGTAGGTGCATTTGAACTTGGGAGCACCAGTCAGCGCCGCCTGTCACCAGTATGGCGAGTGTGAAACACTTGTTTATCGTTTGCCAGGTACATCACGGGGTGCTGAGGGAGGCCCACCTGAGGCGGAGCAGCCTAACCTGGACTGTCTCTGGCCTTCGGCTCCGGACCTCCAGCTAGATTGCCTTATCAGTGATGATGATGATGACAGCAGCAGCGTGGAGCTCGTCAGTGTGGAGCTTCCCAGGTGATAAGTGCTGATATTTGTGAACTGTGGAATTGATTTTCATTTATAATGGTGAACAAATGTGTGTATAAATTAGCAGACGGCATCATCGCATCATCGGTTTCCACACTTCTGGCAGCTCTCTGGCAGCAGAGCTAGCCAGAGAGTCAGCCAGGTAATTCCTGATGGGACAGAAAATAACGTCATGGTCATTTGTGTGGTGAACGCAAGACAACTTGAAGCTGCCCAAAGATTGCAAAATCGAATTCTGGGACAGCCAGCGTAAACATAAACTAACGCTGCCGTCGTGGCAGCAAACGAAACATTCTGCCCCGTGTTTTTTTTTTTCTTTTCTGCATTGTTCATTCGGGAATACGTGGCTAAGTTTTCCGAAGAGCTGAAAGAATACCCTCAAGTGTATGCATTTGGGGTACAACTTCGTACACTCACAAGATCAATCGCAACTCGCCCCATCTGCGAACAATACATCCAGCTGGCACACGGCGCCTCAAGAACGATTCAAGGTGAGCTTGCGCGCCGCTCACTGCTTCGCAAAGCTCATGCCTTCTTAGTACATGTAACAGTCACAGCACAACACTACTACAGTTGAATCTCAATAATTCGAACACGCATAATTTGAACTTCTGGTTAATTAAAACTGAGGCTGTGGACCCATTTAAGCTATGTGTATTGTTACGTTTATAAATGGGTTTGTTACGCTGTGGCGTACTGGGAGGTTTGAAGGGGTCGTGCACCGGAGGCCTATCTCCCTAGCCGAACGTCCTCTTCCCTAATCTGCCTGTTCCCCGCTACGCAGAGGCTCATACCCAAATCACATATGCAGTAACATTTCTCTCCGCGCAGACGAAGCCCACCGGGAGAGTTAAAGAGTCTCTCTGGGAATATAGCGCTTCAAACGGGCTATATGGGCAAGTTGAGTCTTTGCAGACCGTCGGCCATTTGAATGAAGACGTGCTACGCGGTAAGTTAAATCGCTTATACGGTCTAAAACAACATAAGGTCCCGCATAGTGTGCAAGCAGTTTTTCACACAACCCACGTTTCCTATTTGGCGTCCACAGCAACACGAGATCTTTGCGATTATACGTCACGTGTCGATGTCGACGGTCAAAACGTGTCTTCGAGCGATCTTGCGAAGCGAGGGTGCGCAGGTAAGCAAGACGTCGGGCTTCTTCTGCTCAGCAGACGATCTCGGATATACCTGAATCATGAAGGTCCAAAAACGGGAAGACGGTATCTGAGGTATGACGAGGTGGCCGAGCATACAGAAGAAAGAACGGACGGAAGCTGATAGTCTCATGCTGTGCGGTGTTAAATGTGTAAGTGATGAAAGGTAGTACGCCATTCCAGTTCTTGTGATCTGCTGCGACATACATAGAAAGCATGTTCGTGAGAGTCCTGTTAGTTCGTTCCGTCAGGCCATTTGTTTGGGATGATATGGCGTAGAGTGCCGAAAGCTTGAAGCGCATAGGCGAAGCATCTCTTCCACCACGTTTGCAGTGAATTGTCGCCCACGATCACTGATAAAAATTTCAGCAGGTCCATGTCGTAGAACCACAAAACGCAGCATGAATAAACACACGTCAGCTGCAGTTGCCAATGGTATAGCAGCTGTCTTGCAGTACCGTGTTAAGTGGTCGGTACATACGACTATCCAGCGATTATCACTAGAAGACCTTGGAAAAGGACCTAGAAGGTCAATCCCAACTTGCTCGAATGCAGTTCTAGGGGGTGGGATAGGATGTAGTCGCCCTGGAGGAGCACTGGTAGGGCGCTTGCGGCGTTGGCACTCGTTTCAACTAGAGATGTACTGTTCCGTCGTCTGGCGCATTTTCGGCCAGTGAAATCTTTCTTGAAGCCGGCAAAGAGTTTTCGCTGTGCCTAGATGGCCGGACGCTGGGTCATGATGCATGGCCTGCCAGACGGAAACGCAAAGGCTCTTCGGAACCACTAGAAAATATCGTAAGCCGATCGTAGCATAGTTCTTTTTGTACACAAGCCCGTCGTGCATGCAGAAGCGAGTCGCCGATGGCCTTTACTCGGTAGGAAGGAGCTCCTGTATGGTACGGTCCCTTTTCTGCTCAATGGTAAAGGCATTGGTATCAGGAAATGGCAGGTCCAATGTCACGATGTAGGTGTCCAAGTTGCCCACGTCGCAGTCCGTCGGTGGGAGTGGTAGTCGCGAAAGACAATCTGCATCAGCGTGACGACGACCACTTTTATAGGAAACCGTAAAGTCTTATTCCTGCAGACGGAGTGCCCAACGCGCCAGTCGACCAGATGGGTCACGCAGATTGACCAACCAGCAGAACGAATGATCATCTGTCATAATCGTAAAGGGGCGTCCGTACAGGTAGGACCGGAAGCGCTGCACTGCGAAGACTACTGCGAGGCATTCTTGCTCTGTGGCGGTGTAGTTACGCTCGGACTTGCTTAGCGAGCGACTTGCATACCCAACGACATGTTCTTTGGTATCTAGCGTTGAACCAGCACGGCCCCAACACCGACGCCACTAGCGTCCGTGTGAAGTTCTGTGGGAGCCAGAGGATCGAAGTGTCGAAGAATCGGATGGGATGTCAAAAGGAACTTCAACTCAGAAAAAGCGGATGCACATTCCGGAGTCCTAGTCAAATGGCGCGCCTTTCTGAAGCAGGCATGTGAGTGGGTGCACGATATTGGCAAATCCAGGGATGAATCGACGGAAGTATGAGCAGAGGCCCAAAAAGCTGCGTAGTTCTTTCGCTGAGCGAGGTTGCTTGAACGCCTCCACTGCAGCCGTTTTTGCGGGATCTGGCCGTACGCCTTCTTTGTTTATCAAGTGTCCAAGAACGAGTGTTTGGCGTTCTCCGAAACGACATTTCTTTGAGTTGAGCCCTAAGCGTGCTTTGCTTAGGCAGTTCAGCACGAGGCCGAGGCGTGTGTTGTGCTCACAGAAAGTGCGCCCAAAAATCACAACATCGTCCAGATAACGCATGCATACTTCCCACTTCAAACCTCGCAGAATGTTGTCCATGAAGCGCTCAAAAGTTGCAGGCGCATTGCATAGTTCGAAAGGCATCACATTGAATTAAAAAAGTCCATCTGGTGTAACAAATGCCGTTTTCTCTTTGTCTTCCTCGTGCATTGAAATTTGCCAATACCCTGGCCTCATATCAACAGTCGAAAAGTAGGAGGCTGATGAAAGACAGTCTATAGCATCATCAATATGTGGCAGTAGGTACACGTCCTTTTTTGTGATCGCATTGAGACGGCGGTAGTCAACGCAAAATTGCCATTTTCCATCTTTCTTCTTGACCAATATTACGGGAGCGGCCCACGGACTGCAGGATTCCTGAATCAGATTTTTCTTTAGCATCTCGCCAACCTGTTCATTTATCACTGCGCGTTCCGAAGGCGATACCCGGTATGGCTTTTGTCGGAGAGGTCTATGGTATGCCGTATCTATGCGATGCTTTACACGAGAAACAGGGATTGACAGTGGAGCCTGTAGCTGTGCGAAATCGAAAAGACCAGCATGCTTGCGCAGAATACTCGCCAGGTCATTACGCTCGTTGGTGCTAAGAGACTTGTCAATCATTGCCATTATGGAGGTGTCCCTGGCGTGCAAATGATTAGAATCGGGCTTATCCGGAGAATCACTGCTCTCTGCAAGAATGACAAGGGAGAACACCTGATGTTGACGGATCTTAGCAAGTTGTAGACCCTCTGGCAGTACCGAAGGTTCATTGGAGCCGTTGATCACCCACAAACCAGTATGCCTTTGCACAACCGACAGCGTACAATAGGGTATTAGAACATTCTTCTTTATGCAGCTGAGGTGAATGGGCTCTGCGATGGCATCAAATGTCGTCTCGGTTGCAGGGAACTGACGACAGGAACACATTTGGCAGGCAAGGGTGGTACAATTGTGTCCATGGACATGCAAAGGGTACTTTCCATACAGGGCGGGCTTTCCATAAACGCTACTGGAACATTTGAATCTACTGTGATCTCTCCTGTGCGGCAATCGACAGTGGCACCACAAAGATTCAGGAAATCGAGTCCTAGAATTACATCATGCATTGAATGAAAGAGAACAGCAAAATCAGCAATAAAATTCTGGCCACCCAAACTAACAGACACTGTGCAAACACCAGCAGGTTGTAAGACATCTCCACTCAGTCCACGAAATGTATCAGCACGGTCCCAACGGAACATAACCTTTCGTCCAAGAAGGGATTTGAAAGCTAGGCTTATCACTGATATGGTTGCACCTGTGTCCACTAAGGCCATTGTTGAAACACCGCCAATTACCACACGTACCTTATTTTTAAACATGCAAATTAAAGGAGGCATTTCTGTGGAAATCGATGACTGTCCAGCGACCTCACCTCCAATGGTCACGCCGACTAGTTTTCCGGAGGCGGCGAAGGGTAGCGGCGCCTAGGAGAGGGCGACCGATTGGAATGAGTGGCTGGCGGGGGCGTCAGACTGCGGTCAGAGGCCGGAGAACGGTTTCGCAGTGGCCTTATCTCGTGAGATGTGCTTCCAGGGAATGTTGGTGCTTGTGCGGACAGGTAGGATCTTGGTGAGCGGTCGTACCACGGCGGCTGCCGGTAGTTGCAGTACCTGGCAATGTGCCCTTCGACGCCACAGTTGTAGCAGACGGGTAGGGGTCATTCGCCGAACCACTGCTGAGAGCGCTCCGCTGTGAAAGGTCGCCTACCCGAATGGCGTGGAGCAGCTTGCTGAACGGGAACTGCCGGCCTTTGTGGAGCGGGGCCGGTACGAAGGCGTCGGTCATACCGCTGATCAGGCGCGAATGAGTCTCGGCGTGGCCAAGCAGTTCCAGCTTCGCTAAAGTCCGTCACACAAACCGATGGTGGCAGCGGAGCGAACGGTGCCGGGTAATAGGATGAACAGGTAGGCGGATGATGAATGGTGTCGTCGACCAGTGTGTCTTGTCGCTGTAGCTCTTCGCGCACAATTGCCCTGATAGTAGCGGCAAGGTCGGCAGGCGGGCTTACGTCTACGCTGGCGACCGTTGTTACATTTGCCAGCCTACCAAATTTCGGGGCAATACGACGGGTCTTCAGCTTCTCGAAAGTACGGCAGTGACGGACGGCGCAGACGGAAGTGAGGTCTTCCCTGCCTACCAATAAATTGTAGACGTCCTCTGCTATACCTTTCACAAGGTGTCCGACCATGTCCTCTTCAGACATATGCGTGTCTATGATCTTGCAGAGCATCAGAACCTCCTCTATGTAGGTGGTACACGTTTCTCCAGGTGTCTGGGCTCTTTGAGCCAAAGTGCGCGCCGCGCTTTTCTTTTTCGCATCAGAGTCGGCGAAGCATTTTTTGAGTTCTTCGGCGAAACGATCCCACGTTGTTAATGAATCTTCGTGGTTTTTGTACCACATCAAGGCAGTTTCTGTGAGAAACAGCGCGACAGTCCCCAGTTGTTCGCTGGGGTCCCCAGCCGTTGTACCGGCTCACCCGTTTGTAGTGTGTCAGACGCATCCACATCTTCCCTTCTCTTCCCGGGAACGGGCGGTGTTCCATATAGCGATACCAAGGTGCAGCCGGCACCTGACCTTTGCGGGGTTGAGAAGCCGTGACCTTCGCTCTCGGCCATGACGGTTGTTGTTGGTGTCAGACCGGCAAGACGACGGCTCCGGCGAAGTTCAGACAGCTGTGACTCCGTGGTTCGTCGACGTGCTTTACCCAGCCCCTTCACCACTCTGTTACGTTTATAAATGGGTTTATTACGCTGTGGCGTACTGGGAGGCTTGAAGGGGTCGTGCACCGGAGGCCTATCTCGCAAGCCGAACGTTCTCTTCTCTAATCTGCCTGTTCACCGCTACCCAGAGGCTCATACCCAAATCACATATGCAGTAACAGTATTCCAATGGGCGAAAACGCCCTGTTATTGGAACGCGCAAGCACTTGCGACGGTTATGCTGCGCTTCGAAAATGCTATCAGCACCACGCCCAATCCTGCGGCGGCACCTCTGACACCTCAATGCTGCGGGTGAAAAAGGAAGAGAAGAAAAGAAAAGGCTGCAGCGGAATGTCTGCTCTCTCCCTCAAATGCCGATTTGCGACGCGTGTGCACGCTTCTTCCTTTTCCGTTTCTGCCTCATATAGACCCTTCTTTCAACGCCGCGTGTAAAGAGAGAGGGGGGGAAAGAACAAAGCTGCTGTGAAGTGTTGGTTCTCTTTCAAATGCAGATCTGCTTCTCTCTACGTGGAGACTCCTCCTTTCTCATCGCGTGCTGGCCATGCTGCGGCTACGATGCAGTAAGTAGTAGTGGAGACGCAGTCGTTGTCGTTGTCTTTACAGAGTCTCGGCCCTGGTCATTTCCATGCACAACTTCTCTTGCCAGGAGAATGCTGAAGCTGAAGTAAAAATGTTTTGCGAGCTGCGTAAGAAATTTATTGACCTGCTGCAAGGCAAACGTACGCAGACGCACATGACCGTTTACTTTAATTAATGACGAATGTCCTGTGATTTGTGAATAAATGTAAGTCTTCTGAAACTTCCCTCTCGTGTGTTAGCTCAACGCACTTGTGCCACTGCTCTGTGAGCCCTTCGTCCGTTTAGCTTTTATTATTTCGAGCTTTTTTTAATTCAAACGAATTTTCAGGCCACTTCGAGTTCAAATTATCGAGATTCGACTGTACAGTAAAACCTCGTCCATTCGAAGTCACTGGGGCCGCGAGAAAGCTTCCGAATAAATCGATAACCCGCTTAACAGAACATTCAAGAAGTGGGATGCAAGGAACTTAGAACTTCAAAGTACGTAATCAGTGCTCGTCATTTGCTGTGCCAGCCTTGCAGCTCCAAACGTCATGTTTTCCAGCAATACCTGGTCTTTCTTTTGCCGCGAACATGGAGGAACTGTGTGCCTCGCTGCTACCACCGGAAAGACAAAATTGGACTATGCGCACATTCGACCATGATGCGACCATTCGCACATTCTTTCTAATATAATTATGAATTTAATAATGGCCAGTATGACGAAGCTCACAATGTGTTTTGGCTGGAAAAATTTATCTGAAATTTTCGAACTTAGTTTTCGAAGTAGGTGTTGCTGGCAAGAACTCCATTAGCAGTGCAAAGACGCGAATCGCGGGAGCAACCGGCAATCGGAGGTTCGGATACATTGCGATTTCCGCTAAATATCCTTTGTTACTTTCTTTACAACCCCAGAAAGAATGGGTAAACTATGACCCACTGACGTTGCGAGAAACATGCAATAAACTGCCCGCATGTCAGCGCTGTGTCGCAGTGAAGCACGGCTCATTTACCGCAGGCGCACGTTTCGGTTGACCATGAGACCATTTTTTTCCCTCTTTTTTTTGCGCTAGAAGTAGCGAGGCTTGGGTGCTTCAGCTGCCACTCGTTAGTATCGATACGTTGCATTGCCTTGTGGCCTATTAATAGCCTTCTTTCTGGGGATTCGCAGCTAAATCGGAAACTGACACATGGCACCCAAAGTTTTCTAATTAACCGGACTGGTGCTGGCCACCGCTTCAAATTGTCCACTTAATCTTACATTGCGAAATACGTGACCGCGGTAATCCTTCGAATTAAGTGATATTTCGAAATAACCGAGTTCGAATTAACGAAGCTTTGCTATATGTGAAATCTCGCGGAGGTGATCATGTCCCAAAAAGAGCTTGAAGATGTGTACCTGCTCAGCTATTGCGTACGTATAGTGTGACATAGTATATAGTATGAAGGAAAGAAAGGTAAACTTGAGGGCTCATTTGCTTTGTTAGAAACAGTATTAATGAGAACTGACAATTATGCCAAGAAAAGCATAGGGTATATTATTAGAAGTAGTTATTGTCTAAGTATGAAGAAAGAAAAGTGGACGAAAAAATAGCTTGCCATGGGCAGGGACCGAACCTGCGGCATTCAAATAACGCGTCTGATGCTCAACCACCTGAGCAAACACGGCAGGCATCCCCATTAACTTTTTATGAGGTATGTATGTTCATTAAACGTGGGAATATCAGTCATCATTGCCTGTTGTCATTGCGGCAAGTGTGGTACACGCTCATCTTTTGTCTATTGGCATCGCATAGCGCGTGATCTTATTACGAGCTGGCAGGTGACTAATGGTCACTTGCATACCACCTGAAAGCATTAAGTCTGCCAGAACGAAACCCTCACTATGAATGAAGGAAAAAAAGGTAATTGAGGGCTCATTTAATTTGTTAGAAACAATAATAATGCGAATTGACAATTACACCTAGGAATGTATTGGGGGATATTATTAGAAGTAATTAGTGTATAAATGGGAAGAAAGAAAAGTGGATGAAAAGATAACTTGCCATGAGCAGGCATTGAACCTGCGACCTTTGAATGACGCGTTCGATGCATTGAACTCGTTGGTGTTGCCACTGCATGCTTTTGGATGGTAGCTCGAGTGGCCCTGAATCACTGCTTTGGCAAAAAGAAAGAAAGAAGACTTTGTATTGAATACTTTTAGGCAATATTTGCTGTTGCACAGCATTTATCTCTGTTTGAAGCATTGACGCACACCAAGAGATTTGAATTACCACTTCGCTATTAGTGCATACTGCCATTTCATCATCATCATCATCAGCCTGACTACATCCACTGCAGGACAAAGGCCTCTCCCATGTTCCGCCAGTTAACTCGGTCCTGTGCTTGCTGCTGCCAATTTATACCCGCAAACTTCTTAATCTCGTCTGCCCACCTAACCTTCTGTCTCCCCTTAACCTGTTTGCCTTCTCTTGGAATCCAGTTAGTTATCCTTAATGACCAGCAGTTATCCTGTCTACGCGCTACATGCCCGGCCCATGTCCATTTCCTCTTCTTGATTTCAACTATGATATCCTTAACCCCCGTTTGTTACCGTAATCCACTCTGCTCTCTTTTTGTCTCTTATGGTTAAACCTACCATTTTTCTTTCCTATTGCTCGCTGTGTCGTCCTCAATTTAAGCTGAACCTCTTTGTAAGTCTCCAGGTTTCTGCTCCGTAGCTCTGTACCGGCAAGATACTGCTGTTAAATACCTTCCTTTTGAAGGATAGTGGCAATCTACCTGTCATAATTTGAGAGTGCTTGCCAAAAGTGCTCCACCCCATTCTCATTCTTCTACAGTCGAATCTCGATAATTCAAACAAGAAGGGGCTAGAAAATTTGTTCGAATTAAAAGAAGTTCGAATGAATGAAAGCTAAATAAACGGAGGGCTCTCCATGCAGTGGTGCATGTGCATTGAGCTAACACACGAGGGGGAAATTTCAGAAGACTTACATTTATTCACAAATCACAGGACATCCGTTATTAATTGAAATAGTCGGTGATGCGCGCCTGCACACGTTTACTCACAGCGAGCTTGCAAAGCATTTCTGCTTTGGCTTCAGCATTCTCCTGGCAAGAGAAGTTGCGCGCAGAAATGTCCAGCGCCAACACTTTCTAAAGACGACGACAACGACTGCATAGCGGAGCCTCTCTGCTACGCAGCCGCAGCATGGCCAGCACGTGCCGAGAAAGGAGGAGCGTCTCCACGCAGAAAGAAGCAGATCGGCATTTGACAGAAAACCAACACTTCATGGCAGCTTTTTTTTTTTTTTTTGCTCTCTTTGCACCCGTTGTTAAAAGGTGAAGGGCTATATGGCAGGGACAAGAGTGGGAGCAGCGTTGCACCAGCACGCGAGACGCCCCCCTTCCCCTCAAGGCGCAGAGCCGTGCTCCCGCAAAGGGCAAGGGCGGCAGATAGTAGTGCCTTTGATAGTGCCTTTTTCCTTTCCTTGAACCACACAACCCTGCGACAGCTTTCTTTCTTTTTTCCTCTCTCTCTCTTCGCGCGTGGCGTTGGAAGGAGAAGGGTCTTTTTCTGGCAGGGACGAAAAAGGGAGAAGCGTGACATGGGCGCGTTGCCGATCAGCATTTGAGAAAAAGCAAATATTCCACCGAAGCCTTTTCTCATTTCCTTCGCGCACAGCGTTGAGGTGTCGCAGGTGCCGCCGCGGAATCAGGCAGGGTGCCGAGAGCATTTTCGGAGTTCCGTATGTTCGAATTAACCGCCGCAAGTAATTCCGCGTTCGAATTACCGGGTGTTTTCGCCCTTTGGAATACAAATAGCTATGACGGGACTTTATTGTGAGTGCAAGTTAAACGGCAGTTCAAATTAAGTGTGTTCGAATTAATTAGATTCAACTGTAGTTACTTCAATCTCGTGGTCCGGCTCCGCGATTATTACCTGCCCTAAGTAGACATAGTCTATTACAACTTGAAGTGCACTATCACCTATTTCGAAGCACGGCTCTTTTCCGAGGTTGTTGTTCATTACTTTCGTTTTCTGCAGATTATTTGAAGACCCACCTTTCTGCTCTCCTTGTCTAACTCCGTAATCATGAGTTGCAATTCGTCCCCTGAGTTACTCACCAATGCAATGTCATCGGTGAAGCACAGGTTACTAAGGTTACTTCATTAACTCTTAAGCCTGACTGTTCCAATTCTAGGCCTCTGAAAAACCTCCTGTAAGCACACGGTAAATAGCATTGGGGAGATTGTATCCCCCTGCCTTACACCATTCTTCATTGGTATTCTGTTGCTTTCTTTATGGAGTACTATTGGTAGCAGTTGAGCTCCTGTAGATTTCTTTCAGGATGTTTATATATGCTTCATCGACGCCCTGATTCGCAGTGTCTGCGTGACTGCTAATATTTCTACTGAATCAAATGCCTTCTCGTAATCAATGAAGGCTATGTATAGTGATTGGCTATATTCTGAGCATTTCTCTATAACCTGATTGATAGTATGAAAGTGGTCGATTGCTGAGTACACTGTTTGAAATCCTGCTTGTTCCTTTGGTTGATTGAATTGTAATGTTTTCTTAACTCTGTTAGCAATGGCCTTTGTAAATAGCTTGTATCGTACGGAGAGCAAGCTGATCGGCCTGTAATTCTTCAAGTCCTTGTCAACTTTTTTCTTATCTATTAAGACGATTTTAGCATTCTTCCAAGACCCTGATACTCTTCCCGTCAGGAAACACTTCCTAAAAAGGGTGGCTAGTTTTTCTAACACAATCTGTCCTCCATCTTTCAGCACATCTGATGTTACCTGATTCTCGCCAGCAGCATTGCCTCTTTGCATGCTCTCCAAGGCTTTTCTGACTTCTTCTATCATTACTGGTGGGGTGTCATCTGGGTTACTGCTAGATCTTATAGTATTAAGGTTATGGTTGTCCCGGCTACTGTACAGATTTCTGTAAAACTCTTCTGCTATTTTAACTTTCCTATCTATATTGGTAATTATT